CCTGATGTGTCTTTTGTGCAAAGCTGTGCTTCTGTGGTGTGTTTAATTAAAGGCCTGGCTGGGGAGCGAGGCAGTCATTTGCTCATTGTCTCTGCTGCTGGGTGACCTCGTCCGTCCCCATCCTTGCAGTGTCTCTGGTCCGTCTTCCTTACAGTGGAGCCGAGCGTGGGCTGCACTCCCCCAGGTCCCCGTGCACAGGCCCCGAGCTCTCTGGAGCCACACATGGCAAAAATAGAAGCAACTATCATTATTGTATTTTTATAAAAAGAAACAGATTGAAGCATGGCACAAGGTCTTCCACAAAGTCTGGGAAGGCGAGGGCTGTCTCTGTTTCACTTTTTCTGTAAATAAACCCTTAAGAAAAACTTTGTTGATGACATCAGCGGTGGCCAAAAGAGAAGTGGTGGCCCACGTGCTGGGAGTGGAGTGTGTCTTACCTCAGCCCTGGTCACGATGATGTGAATTAGTGTCTCCTCATCGGTGCCTGCACCCTTCATGGACTTGTACAGACGGTCAGCAAAATAGCCCTCCTGGTCCCGGGCACACCTCACTGGGCAGGACGAGGGACAAGAGAAGGTGAGGCTTTTACATGTTGTTGAAGAACATGGAGACCCTCCGAAGGAACAGAGCTGCCCCCCCGTATCACCTGGCTGTCCTTGGAGCTGACTCAGTTGTGAGACAGGTGTTTGAAAGGAGCAGACTTCACACTCTAGTGGGATCTGGAAGATTCCCCCGGGTCAGGGCACCTGGGCTCTTCAACCAAGAACTGAGTCAAAACCCCTCTGCTGGTCCCTGAAGACCCTTCAGGGGAGGAGGAACGCTGCGCCACCCTCAGGCTTTCCCTGCCAAATTCATGGTTCTTACCAGCAGGAGTAACTTTTCTTATCTGAATGAAATCTCTGATGCTGGCGTTGGGTTCAGAGGGGAAATACAGATTGGCTGGGGACTCTGCTGTAATAAAACTTCAGAATCTCGAAGACTCACTCAGCTGGACTGCCGCCAGGATGTGCTAAACATCTTTCCCACCCTTTGTTTTTCCTCACTGGGTTTGCTCGGTGAGTTTCATCTTGGAATCTTTTCCAAGTGCCCCACAGTCTGAGCTCTCCATCTGGGATGCGGCCTCATGAAATGTTTGATGCTGTCTACAGGCCACCTTCCTGTGTTCTTGCTAGCTGCTCTTTTCTGGTCCTCCCCTTGCCTGCCAGCTTTGATCTCATCCACAGATTAGTGAAGCACAGTGCCTCTCTACTCCTGGGGAGAAATCATTGTTCCTCTCCCCTCCTCCCATGCTTAGGGGGGCCCATCAGGACAAACACTTTGGGGAAACGAACCATTTACTCTTTAGGTGTTGGCATTTACCTAGAACACTCAACATTTTTGATGTTAGTGATTGATAGCAAGTAATACATTGAGCGTAAGTGTGGGATGTGCATCCTTGATATGTCCTGGGATGGGAACTCTTGCTTTTATGTAATTGCCTACATGATTGATGCTTCCGAGAATTGGAAGGGAACAGGATTAGGGAAGTAGCATCTAGGTGGGGGGTCTGTCTCTTTTATAGGCCATGTGGAAGCCACCAGAGTTTCAGGAGAACAGAAAAGCCCAGCCCCAGGTGTCTGACCTCTGTATCCTGAGAACAATCCAAAAAGCTGCTGGATTAGTGGTGGTTGGTGGGGGGAGCCTGTCAGTTTGGGGAGTGGCATACTTGAGACTCACTTAAGACCCCCTCCCAGGCAGGACACGTTGATGCTGAAATGCCTAATGTCCGTGTGTTCCAACCCTTCATAGGTGTCTTCTCCCCTGGCATTCCTTCTTCCTGATGTTCTGGGAAGAGATTTCTCAGCTTTTCTATTGTATGCAATCTATGCCTGGTGAATAAGGTCTGTTGTTAGCTGCCGAAGGAATCCCTCAAGAGTCTGGATGGGGCTAGCCAGGGAAAATGTGGGCATATACCCTGTGGTATCTGGAAGGCAGGATAGCCAGCCATGATGAGGAGAAGACAATCCCTTGGGGAGCTTGTAAAAGTGCGGCTTCTGGGCTCCATTCTTGGAGATTCTAATAGGGAGCCTGAGATAGGGCCCAGGAATCTGTATTTTCACATACCTCTCTATAGGTGATTCTGGTGCAGGTGGGCCCTGGAGCCCACTGGAAAAGTGCTGCCCCAGAGCATGCAAGTGGTAGGAGTCATTTGGTCTCAAATTTAACCGTAAACCGGCATCTTTATGAGTCAGGTATGAGTGGGGGTGGGAAGTGTCTCGAAAATACAACCGTAAAGTCATGCTCTACAGCTTGTGTGGTTTATACTTAAGGTCGTTTCTAATCACTTTGAAGTTTCCTACCACCGGAGCATACCTAAGTCCTGCATTTTATGTTCCCCGTCTCCAGGGATGTGGCTGTTCCTTCCTCTGTACCCTCCTCACTCTGGTTGTTTTTGTTTTTATCTTTACTGTAACCTAATCTGCTGATTTGTTTGTTTCCACCATGGACTTGAAACTTCCTAAGAGCAAGAACTGGACCTATTTACCTCTGATCCCCTCACCAAGCGCAACCCCCAGCCCGGGTAGGTGCTAACTAAATGTTAAACAATTGAATGGTTTTGCTACTGTTAATAATATTGATAGTGGTTTATCATCATTGGTATAATCTTCTGACTGAACTCTGGTATTTTCCTGATTCTTTGCACTGCCAGCACAGAAAGGAAGAATTTGGAGCCTTTGAGTCAGGCTGTTAGTGGATCTCTCCATTTACTTAAGAGACTCATCTTTTAAGCCCCAAGGACAGTTGTCCATGTATGTCCAGTTGGGGTCAGGAGTGACACTAGGGATGTTTAGGCCTCTCTACATCATGGTAGAGGTCAAATTAGTAGAGGCCCTGCTAATTTGAATGCAAAATGAGGACGGACTAAAAAAAATCAATTGCTGACATTGTTTAAAAAATTTTTTTAAAGCCCCCACAAAAAGCAAAACAAAAAGTTTGGCAGATAGAGCACATTTTTTAACTTCCAGGACTACTTTTTCAATTCTTCCTCTTCCGGGGACCCGTCTTTCCGTTTCTTGTGCTATTTGAGGTGGTGCCCTCGACTCCTCGCCACAGGAGAGTATGGACAATGGACAATGGCTTCATTCCGGGGCTTGCAGAAAGGAAGAAAGGAGCCTGCCAGACACAGCCCCATGCCCGTCTCTCCGCTCTTTCCTGCCTATGGGCAACACCTGGAGAGAAGGTGCTGGTGTGCTCGCTTGGCACAATAAAGATCTGGTCTCCCTCCCCACTCTTTCTCAAGAGACCTCATTCATTCTAAATGTTGAAGGGAATCAAGTGGAAAAGAACACCCTCGAGCCATCAGGCATATGCAAAAACTTGTTCATAGGTTGGAAACCTGGCTGAACCACATATGGCTCCCTGAGACTAGACAATGCTGCAGCCTGTTGACAGATGCTCTTCTCGTCGACCCACGATCTTAATGAGACTGTAGTGGATGCCATGATGCATCGCCCAGAGGCCCTCTTTGGGACCGATGCACTCGTTCCATCTGCGGCCTACTGGCTGCTCACAGCTGAGTCCCTCCCCAGAAGTGGCCCTCCAAGGCCCTGCCTTACCCACCATTGCAAATGCTCCGGGGTTGCGGCCAGCATCCACCGGTTGCTTGGTGTGTGGTTTAAACACCTTGCCCCCTTGCCTCCTGGCTCCAGGGCTCCATGGGGGACCAGCAAAGCCCCCGCCCCCCGTTAACAGCTGCGTCATGCTTACTCTCTCCCTTACCCAATGCTGCTGAGGTGTGTTGTTCCCGAACTATTCCCTAAAGTCTTCCCACATGCAAACCTCCGACTCTGAGCCTGATTCCAGGGAGCCCACCCTAAGTCAGGGACTCTGCTAGGTTTACTTTACCAAGAGTTAAGTAGGCCTTCTGCACGTCTCCCGACGTTTCTGCTTCAATGGCCTCTTCGATGTCTTTGTTGATGAGCTGGAAGGACAATCAAAGGCCAGCCATTATCACAGGTCTTGCTCTTGGCTTTGGCACTCCTGGGGTCACTTGTCTACAAAAAGCACTAAACTCTTCCAGATTTGGTCACGTGACTTTAAGGAACCTATCCTGCTCCGTGCCTTACATTTGAGTGGGGTCTCTTATGGCTGATGACTTTTGACCCCTAATGGATTTGGTCCCTTCCTTGGATCAGGACAATTCCCTTGGCCTCAGTTTCCTCACCTGTACAATTGGGAGTGGAAGAACAATGAATATATATTGTAAAATAATTCTTTACATCTCTATAATAGTTTAGTTTCCAATATGTTCTTAAAATTCTTTTCATTTCCAATTCTCTAGGAGGTTGTGGTTATTAATCATCTTACCCACACTTTTCTCATCTCCCATGTCCTGGGACTGGGGACTCAGCCAGCCACAGTTTGGGTGACATAAGTAGTACAGGCTGTGAAGTTCACAGTAAGGACTTGGTCCAACGTTTTTGATAGAATGGGGCTGCGTGGGCTGGAAGCCAGGGGGCTGACCATGTCAAAACGTCACTTTCCTTCACCCTGGGGGTGATTCTAAATGATCCTATATTCACCACCGGCTCACATACCACTCTGCACAGCATTACACGCTGGGTTTCTTTCCAAATATTTACAGAAGCTGAAGTTCAGAGTGTATTGTGACAATGCTTAATGCAAGTACCACCTGGGCCAAACTCAGGGCAGGCAAATAAAAGAAAGGAGAACTCTTTGTTGGGTTTGGGGAAGTGCAGTTAAGCATTAAGAATACAGAAACTTCTTTCTTAGAAGTTATTTTTTGAGGCTATGACACAACGGTGGTTCCATAAATAGTTGGGGCCTTTGAGGACACACCAGCCAGAGTGTATGTAGTTTATTCTGAAAACACTAGTAAACAAAATAGCCTTTGTGATGCACGCACAATTGATTTGGGGGGGGGGTGGAGAGAGGTCGAGATGTAATGAGGTTTCTCGGTCTCCTTGTCGTGGTTTGACACCTAGAGGTCTGGTGTGGGTAAGGGACGTAGACGGTGGGGATTGCCTGGGGGCTTTCTGTTCTGTCCCTTCCTTAGTTGCTCCTGGCCTCTCTTGGGTTTGATGTGGGAGCTGGCGTTTCGAAAGGGACTGGTACCACTTTCCCATGAACAGCGTTCTTGTTCTGTAGGCCGAGATTGCATTTCAAGAGGACATCTTGTTCACACGGGTCTGCATTTACTAAAAAAATAATCCTCACTTTAAACCGCTTTCTGTTTCTATTGTTAGTGCTGGGACAGCATTGCCAGGTTTCTGCTTTCTCAGTCTTTTTGCCACACAACTCCAGGGGGCACTGTTCACATTGCCCCCTCTTCTCTATCAACCTCCTGCCCACATTCCCCTCCTGGTAGCTACCAAGGCACCTCCCGGGGCTCCAGAGAACACAAATGGAAAACAATCGACTGGCCCAAGTGAATCTCCTTTGCAAATGGCAGGCTTTTCACTTCAGTTCCCGGAACACTTAATTCTTAGGGGGCTCTTTAGACAGACCAGGTTTTCTGATCTTAGTACAAAAAAACATCACTGGGGTAGATTCCACACAAGCCTCAAAGGCCTCTCGTTACCAGGTAGCGTTGACCGTAGGGAGATTACTAGAAGAATAGGGGAGACATTTCTTTCTTTCAAAACCTATTCACCCATAGTGACAGCATTCTCATAGCAGAATCCTATGCCCTCTGGGTTTGGCCACAGAAGGTACAGGACTAGAGGCTCTGGAATGAGCTCAGGAACACATAGAGGACAGGAGAGAAGTGGTGACTGACGTGGTGGGGACGCAGTGTGCCTGCGCTGTGGGTATGTGTACCTACAATTCATACTAAGCCCTGCGTAGGGAACTTCCTTCAGCTTTATAGCTGCACAAGCCTTTCATGTTTGGTCACCTTCGGGACGGTGATATTCCTGCCTGGTGTAGCAGGGCCGCAAACACAGTTTCTTGGTGAGGATTTCTGGGAGCGTTAGTAGTTAAGACTCAAGCTTAGAGGGCAAAACCCTAACGTTTTCATGCCAAAAATAAAAATTCATCTCTATGCCAGGGCAAGCTACGCAACGTAATAGACTCCCATGATCTCATGCTAGCGGTTTATTGCTTTTAGCCAGAGACCCTTGTGAAAACTTATGAACTAGGGTCATGAGATCAGGGTGAACTCACAAAAATCAGTGATAAGAATCAAAACAGATGGTGTTCTGGGGAAGTTTTGGGAATAGAGGAACAGGTAGTATTTAGAGCTAGTTTCATGTAAAGAATCACTAAATCAGTAAATTATTTTATTGTCCATTTGGGCTTTGTTGGTTCACATAAGGAGACAACTAACAGTTGCTGGTGTTTACTGAACGCCTATGGCATGCCAGCACTTTATTTTTAGCACTTTATTTCTATTAATTCATTAATCTTTACTAACCCTATGAAGTCAGTACCATCGTTATCCCTGTTTGACATTTGGGGAAACCGAGGTCCGGAATCCTTAATGACTTGCTCTGGCTCATAGAGCTAGCGGTCTAGAGCAGACCTTTGTGATTTTAACAGGCACCAGAATCACCGGAAAGACTTGTTGAAACATACACTCTAGGACTCTCTCTGATTCAGTAGGTCCAGGGTGGGGGGCTGAGCATTCCCTCTCTCTTTTTTTTTAAGTTTATTTATTTTGAGGGAGAGACAGCAGGGGAGGGGCAGAGTGAGAGGCTGAAAGAGAGAATCCCAAACAGACTCTGCACTGTTAGCATGGAGCCTAATGCGGGGGTCGAACCTACCAACCGTGACATCATGACCTGAGCCGAAATCAAGAGTTGGACTCTTAACCAACTGAACCACCCAGGTGCCTCTCTCTCTCTCTCTCTCTCTCTCTCTCTCTTTAAATAAGAGAATTCTCATTTTTAACATGTTCACAAGTGATACTGATGCTGCTATTTGGGGATTAATTTTGAGAACAATTGGCCTGGAGAATATCCTTGTAGGTCGTTAGCAGTTCATGTATACACACACACACACGCACACACGCACACATGCATGCTAACATGTATGTGTGTTTCCACAGTGATCACCAATGGCAGCCATCCCCAGAAACTCCATCCATGGCCCCAGCCACATGGGAAGAGGGTGTAGGTCATGAAGAAGTCTTCCAGCTCAGAGTCTACCCCGTTCCAGGAGCAGAGGCCAGAGGAACGCAGGGTCAGCTGGCTTTGATCATGACTCTGGGCATGATTTGAAAGCAAAAGGCCCTCCAGGCTTATATACAGTAATGATAAAATTCCCAAGCTTTATTGTCTTTTCATCTGCTGGCAACACATAGGAAATGCTATTTCGAGTGAGGAGTGGCCAGCTCCCGCCGAGGTAGAAGCTCGGGCTGGGGAATCTTGCTGTTCTCATCCACTTTCTGCTACCGGCTTGCTGTGTGGTCCTGATAAGTTACAGATGGCGCCTTACTCATAACAGACTTTCCTTGTCCAGCAGTTGTAGGTAACAATGGCTGCTTAGTCGACATTACCGTTACAGGATTGTTGTGAAATTGGAATGAGATACAGGGCACAGAAGGGCTTTGAATAGTTAAAAGCACTCTACAATTATAAAATAGGAGACCAAAAAAATCTGATACTCCACAAAAGGCTTCTTGCAATGAAAGACTGATTTTCAAGGAAGGACTCACCACTAAATGCTTTGAAGTAACTAATTCATCTTGTTGGCTTAAGATTATCATCAGATAAAAAATAATTGTAAACAGCAATTTATACACATCTTTTCAGGAGTATCTCTGAGGTATATCTCATCTGTCTTGGGAGTGGTAGGCACTCTGTTAACCCAACTATAAACTGGAATAATAGTAAGAGAGAACATTTGTGTGCTTACCACACGCCAGGTACTATTCTGAGCCTTTTACATTTATTATTTAACTTTTTTTTAATGTTTATTTTTGAGAGAAAGACAGAGAGAGACAGAGCATGAGTAGGGGAGGGGTGGAGAGAGAGGGAGACACAGAATCCTAAGCAGGCTCCAGTCTCCGAGCTGTCAGCACAGAGCCCGACGCGGGGCCCCGAACTCATCATGAACAGTGAAATCATGACCTGAGCGCAAGTCAGACGCTTAACCGACTGAGCCATTGGGGCTCCTCTATATTATTTAACTCTTGAAAGAAGCCCAAGAGGGTGTGACGATGAAGATTATTGTCCCATTTTACAAATGAGGACAGAGAGTCTGCCAGTGATAGGACATGGATTTGAACCTGGATGTTGACTCTAGGGCTTTGCTCTTCACCTTGACACTCCTCTGCTTTCCTAGCCTCTGCTGTTAAGCAGGGGTTCCCAACCTTGGCACTACATTTGGAGCTGGACAAGCCTTTGTTGTGGGGCTGTCCTGTGCATTGTAGGATGTATAATAGCCTTGACCTACTAGGTGCTCTTAGCGTTGCCTCCCCAACACCCAAGGTGACAACCCAAATGTTTCCAGACATTACCAATTATTCCTTGAGGTGGGGAAGAAGCAAAATCATCTCTGATTAAGAGCTGCTGTTGTAAAACACCCCCACAGTTCCTCATCCCTGATCTGGACTTCTTTTGGAAATAGTAGTTTTGGTGTGAACTCCATTGCCCTGGTGCTTGTTTACTTACAATCTGGTAGGCTTGAAAGGTGGCCCGTAATTGCTTGTGGCTCCTCTTGGCCAAGACTTCATTGAAGGCAAGCTCATCAGTGCCCCAGCGGTCCTCCCCTGCCTGCAGGACAAATGCAAACATTTTGGAAAAGCCTTTTGCGTAAAAGACTGAATATACTGTTCTATGACCAGGCCTTGCTTACGGGCAGTTCGAAAATATGCACTGAATAGAAGTCAAATTGATCAACTAAGCACTATACCTGAGAGTTTACTTCACACATCTATTTATAATATTTATACCTTCCTTGTTCCAAAATGGACCTGAAGCAGTAAACTCTGAAATGCAAGAATAGGAACAATTCTTCTTTTTTTTCTTTAATTTTTATTTATTTTTGAGAGAGAGAGAGGGAGAGAGAGAGACAGACTGTGAGCCAGAGAGGGGCAGAGAGAGAGAGGGAGACAGAACCCGGAGCAGGCTCCAGGCTCTGAGCTGTCAGCACAGAGCCCGACGCGGGGCTCGAACCCACAAACCGTGAGATCATGACCTGAGCCGAAGTCGGACACTTAACCGACTGAGCCACCCAGGCGCCCCAAGAATAGGAACAATTCTTACAGGTTCACAAAGACTGTATATATTGAAAATATTTTAAAGATCATACTTATTTCTCAAGAAACTCCCATTTTCATGAAACAGAGAAATATTTGTTGAAAATAGTGCTAAGAAACTTTAAAAAGGACAAAGAATTGGCGGGGACTGGTGCATCTGCACACTTACATCATACAGATCCTTGGCATCCCGACCAGCTAGATCTCTGTCCACCTCATCTCCTTCATCACGATTAGCCTAGAAAAATTGACACGTTGTTATTAACTTGAGTTCCCACTTGACCACAGAAAACAAAAAGAGAAAGTCCTGGAAAGCTGGGGGTGATTGCAGAAGGGTGGTCTGGAGGAGATGGAACCTGGCAAAGTGGCAGTGTTGCTCTTTGCTGCCATCTTTAGGCACAACTGATAAGCAGGGTAGCTTCTGAAACAACACTTGAGTTTTTCTCTAGAAATCAGGGTGGCTCACAAACCCCACTGACCTCTAAGCAGGCTGAAAGCAACCTCGTGATGTTCCCTGGAGTGACTCCATTGGAAAGCTAATAGTGATCCTTTCAAAATATCTTACTTCACCTCTCGGGGGTTCCCAGTGCTGAAGAACCCTGAAACTTGGTCATGGAAGGTTCTGAATTCTAACCTGAGCCCTGTGTGGCCAGCGGGATCCTGAGTGGTCCAACCCTTATATGACCCCTTCCCTTGAGTGCGGCTAAGACCTGTGAATATAAGCTGTCACTCCCACGATGTTATGTTAATATAAAAAGGAGATTTTACAGGTGCAATTAAGGTCTGTAATTAGTTGCGTTGATCAAAGGAGATATTCCCCTTGCTGGGCCTGATCTTACCTGTAGCAGGGACACCAGCATTTTCTTTAGGGTTCCACTTGTATCAGCTTTGACATCTGATTCAAGGCTCCTGTCAAACACTTTCGAAGAAGAAAAAGGGAGGAGAGAAAGCAGATGATTTCATTTCCCAGAAGTATTTTGAAAGGAACATTCTTTATCCAAAGTCAGAACAAAAGGTCACTTACACCTTTGGTAGGCTTCTTTAATGGCCATGATCTCCTAGGAAGGGTAATAAAACAAAAATCAATACTCCGAGGTGGGGTTGATCAGTAGGAGACACACAGATACACAAGGAAATGGCCAGAACCTGTCTCCAGGCACGGGATGCCTCCGTGACTTCCTCCAAAGAGAGCCATCCTATGGCTCAGGGCCTAGGCCTGGGGCAGGTCCCTGGAGGTGTGAAGAAGCCCCTGGGTGCAAACATCTCAAACCACACACCAAACACATGCATACATTCTCCTTAGTTAAAAGCAAAACTACCCCAGCTCAGCTAATGTCTTTGCTGCCTCCTCACTCCGTCTCACGCTCCCATCTCTACTCAGGTGGCTAGTGTCACACAGTGGGTATCTTCCCAAGCATTTGTCCTTGCATTTGTATACAGATAGGTGTGCTACTGAAAACATACAGAATTGTTTTGTGTATGTGTTTCCAAAGTGGAATACTGTATGTGTTGTTCTTGGACTTATTTTTTCACTCAGTAATGTGTCTTGGGGATCCAGCTACGCTTATCCGTAGTCACCTAGTGTTTTTTAGGTGGATACAAAACGTCCCAGCCTACAGCAAGCCACGGTTTATTTAGTGAGCCTCGGATGGATGTACATTCAGGTTGCTTCCAATTTTTTCCCTACTGGACACAAGGCTTCATGCAGTAATCCATGTGCTGCGTGCAGGGCTGCAAGTTTCTCTCTGGGGTGTGTACTGGGAAGATGTGCTTTGTGTTTCAATGACTCAGGCTAAGTGGCCCCGTCAGGAGCTGCCTCAGTTTACATTTAGGCCAGCAGTGTCTAGGAGCAGGTGTTCCCCAGATGTTCACTGGCAAACTGTTTAAGAGTTAGCAGCAGGCCAGGGAAAAGGCAGTGGGGACAGTGGGACGGGGGGAGCCTGGGGGGCCGGAGGATGTAGGAGTTGGTGGGAGCTGATCATTTGTGTCCATGAAGCTCTTTCTTTTCTTCTCCTTCTAACCCACTTCCAGGATGTGCCTGAACCCAAGACCTGCTCTCTCCCTACTTTTCTTTTTATTGTCAGATCGATTTGATTGTGGGGGAGAAAAAGAGCTTGTTTGTTGTTTGAGAGCAGGGCTTGAAAGAAACTAGGCTGAGGGGGAACCACATGTGGTCAAGTGAGATTAGAAAAATAATGATCAGAACCTTCTTGCCAAGGCAGCCTGCCGATTACCCTAATATTGGACGCCTCCTGGCTGGGACTGTGGAGCTTCTGGAAGGTGGGGGACCTCGACCGGGAACACCGTATAACTGCAGGACCGGACTGATACCATCCTCCTTCGCTGACCCTTCCTGAACAAAAACTCCTTGAAATGGAGGGTTTTTATTATCTTGTGGAAAGAAAAGAAGTCCGGGGATGCTGAGGAAAGGGGTTCAGGGGTTTGGAGAAATGTGCTGGACCCCACAGACTGAGCAGAAGGAACCAACCCAAGGTCATCTACATGCAAGGCTTTTAAAGTATTGTTTTAGCATCAGAGATCTGTTGAAGTTTTTCCTTGCTGTTGGCTCCAAACACTGCTTCTGTTTCCTACCTGGAGGCCTCAAGGATGTTGGGGACTTTCTGGCTTTTTCCTTGCTGGACTTCCCCCATTCTACATGATGAGTGGTTGCAGCAGAGAGTTGGGTCTCCAAATAATGATTTGTGGACCCTCTCTACCCGTGATGAATTCCTTGGCCCTCATGGCTTCTGGAACCAAAGATGAATGAGTTTCGACTAAAGCCTTAACAAAGGCTCTTTTCAGCTCCTGAAATGGCAGCATGTGCCCAGGGACAGGGGGAGAGGTCTGCTGATAGAAGTAGATGGAAACCTCCAGGAAGGTGCTGGCAGCCACGAGAGGTGTTCACGGGGATCCCCTCTGCACCAACTGCTTCCCTGCCTCTTTATGGTCCTTTTTGTACTCTATGCTAGATGACAGCCATGGACAAGGCAGCTGCACAAACACGCTTAGCCCATTTATTGCATTATTTGTGCCGAAGACCTGCAAAGTCAGGCTGGGTGGAGGAAAGCAGAATCTTGCCTCCTGCATATAAAACTATGCATTCCTTTCAGAAATACAAAATCTGCGTTGACACAGCTGTTCTGGAAGGATCTATTCTGTCAAGCCAGAGGCGGAAACACGAAGACTGACAGCTGGAAGATTGGAAGAGGGATCTCTCCTGCACGTGCCAAACAGACATGTTTCTGTCCAGACGCTTGGACAATGGAATGTGAGGTGTAGTTTTCCTTCTGGCTGCTGCAACCCTCTCTGATGGGCATCTGGATGCTCCTTCAGGGGCTGGGGCTGAGGGCTTGGCTGGCACTCACCTTATTGGTTCTTGTGCACAGGACCTCGATGATCACTGCCTCATCTGTGCCCAGACCCTTCATGGCCTTTTGCAGCTGGCGGGCATCATACTCGCTGGGGCGGTCCAGGAGGGCCAAGGCTGTCTTCTCAAAGCTTCCACTCAGTTCGCTCTTGAACACCTCCTCCAGGTCCTGGAGGAACATAGCGGGAGCCCTGACTAGGGAATGGCCCAAAGCAGAGGACAAGCTTCCCGCTGCATGGCCTCAGGGTCAACAGGAAGATTGCCAAGGACACATGGGGAAGGGGAGTGAGCTGGGCAGAGCTCTAGTGACATGAGTGACCTGCTGTGGAGGACAGTCGTCACTGTGACTTCCTCTGGGACTGGCAGAGAGGCAGAGAAGATCCCTTGCTCAGGGTTGGAAACCCCAAAGATGAATCACAATAACAAACAGCATTTGCTGGATAGTTTAGGGTTCAGAGAGCCTTCTCGCTGAACTCCAGAATAGCCCTGGCAGGAGAGGGGAGAGGTATTGGCATCATTTCTATTTACTGACCTCAAAAAAATGAAGGACTCCCCCCCAAACACTTGCGCGACTAGAAAGGCCTGAAACATGAGTTTGTTGTCTCTGGAGGATCAGATCATTTGTCATCCAAATTTAAATGGTTCTTGTTTTGTTTTAGAGAGAGAGTGAGTGGAGGAGAGGGGCAGAAGGAGAATCTCAAGCAGGCTCCATGCTCAGCATGGAGCCCAACGTAGGGCTTGATCCCACACCCTGGGATCATGACCTGAGCCAAAATCAAGAGTGAGACGCTCAACTGACTGAGCCACCCAGGCCCCCCTGAGGTGGTTTTGAGAGTGAATGGGGAAAATAATAAACTAGCAGTAATTACAGCGGCATAACACGAATAAACGAGGGCCACCCTGGGCAAACCAGATGTGTAGTCACTTTGGTTAACTTGTTAAATCTGGACAGGGACACACGTGGGAAAGCACTCAGGTAGGGAGAAGAAATGAAATACATTAAGGAAGAAATGAAGTATATGAAATGCCCACTGGCGTCTGTTTTTAGCAAGTGTCCATCTTCAAGGATGTTTTTTGGGAGGTGCGGTCTTATAGGTGAACTGCCTGCTCCTACCTGTGTATCTCTGACATGATGGGTTAGTGACAAAAGGGACAAAAATTGGTGTTCAGTCTAACTAGTGTCGCCAATGTCCCAACTTCAGTGAAGGACCTTGAAGAGGGAACCTCGTGTCCAGATGTGGGTCAGACTGGGGACTCATGGAGCAGTTAGCAGCTTAGGAACTCAAATTACATCACAGAGTAGGTGTGGCCACTCAGCAATGTGGCATGATGGCTAATGACATGATCACAGCAGCTGTGTGACCTTGGAAATGTACTTTAACCAATTGTCAGTTTCCTTCTCTGAACAATGGGGGTCTGATGAGACTCACCTCTTTTTTTTTAATGTTTATTTTTTGAGAGAGAGAGAGGGAAAGACAGAGCACGAGCAGGGGAGGGGCAAAGAGGGACGGAGACACAGAATCCAAAGCAGGCTCCAGGCTCTGAGCTGTCAGCACAGAGCCCAACTCTGGGCTTCAACTGACAAACCGTGAGATCATGACCTGAGGGGAAGTCCAACGCTCAACCGACTGAGCCACCCAGGCACCCCAATAGACTCAACTCAGGGTTGTTGGGAGAATTAACTGAGACAATCCATGTAAAGCCCAAGCCTGGAACACTTTAAATGTTCAGTAAGTGGGTATTACTATTATTCCACCCTGAAAGGAACTTTCTAAGAGAAGGCTAATCAACTGTTTCTTTTATGAACCTCTGAGCTCTGAGCCTGGGAAAAAAACCCGGAAGATTTTGCCTAATGAGTGGGGTTTGCAGTCTTATGTGGGGGCCTTGGTATCACTGCCTCTGTCTTCAGGCAGCTGCTCCATCTAACGCTGCATCCTCTAAAGGCAGGCCTTTGGTCAGTACTCTACAGTGTGGACCCATCCAAAGACTGGAAATGTTTTTTTTTTCAGGTCAGATGGGCATTGCGTAGAACTTCAGAGAAGAGAAACACCAGCTGCCTACTCTTACAAGCCACAAGCATGAAAACAGATCCTTGTGTGTTTACATTCTGTTTGGACACAGAAGCCGGCTCAGGATATCTCAGCTCTAATCCCGGTTTTCCGGCTCACCAGCGGTGTCACCTTGGGATGCGAGTTCTCTTTGGAGCTCGGTTGCCATGGGGACTTTGATTTGTCTGTTTCTAACATCTTTGAGCTTCAGATGTGATTCTAGACCACCTCCTTGGCAGTCTCAACTGTCTGAAACAGCCATGAACTGGAAAGTAAGCAAAGATTGGCACGTGTTGGTATTGCAAAGTTTGGTGCTAGAGCATGCCTACTTTATCCTTAGCAGAGCGCCTAAGTCCTCACCTCAAACTCATTTACTCTGCTTTACACTCAAGTTTAAGAAGCCTGTATCTGACTTTCCATGTCAGTAGGGTGGGGGTACACATAGCACTTGAGAGGCTGCTACAGTTAGGCGTGCCGGCAAGCATAAAAGTTCAACGTCATTCAATTCAATTCCATGCAGCTGAGCTGAAGATTCACGGACTTTCATCAATGTCATCAAGGAATGACACTGACAAGCCTGATTCTGAAGAGAGAAGCAGAAAAACTGTAAAAGTGCAGCCATGTGGGCCATTTAGTGTAGAAATAAATAGCTCCTCTCGTGGCAATGAGTTCTTCAGGAGTGGACATTGGCCCTGGAGTCAGAAGACTGGGATGGGAGTGTCAGTTCTTTTTCTTACTAAGTGTGTGATTTTGCTTGAGTCATGGAAACAGAGGAGCTCCAGGTTTCTTCTCTATAAAATGGAAACAATCGTACCTAGGATAGCTTCCCTTTACTGATACGTGCTGCCGTTAGCCTGTTCGATTCTCTCAGCAACCTGAGAATTACATTTCATTCTGTATGTGAGGACACCAAGGCCTAAAGAGATTATTGTCTGCCCAACGTCAAATAAGTAAGAAAAGCCATCTCTATATCTATTTATACATGGAGGGATTGAAACTGTAAAGGTTTTATAAACATGTATTAGAATACAGCATGATAATTAATATTCATTTTGCACGCTGATAATTCTAATGACAGTAAAAAGTGGTTAAATTGTAGGGGCACCTGGGTGGCTCAGTCGGTTAAGCATCCGACTCTTGATTTCAGCTCAGGTCATGATCTCACGGTTCATGAGTTCAAGCCTCCCATCAGGCTCTGTGCTGACAGTGCAGAGCCTGCTTGGGATCTCTCTCTCCCTCTCTTTCTGCCCCTCCCCTGCTCTCTCTCCCTCTCTCTGTGTCTCAAAAAAAAAACAAAAACAAAAAACAAACCTAAAAAAAAAGAAAAGGTTAAATTGTGTTCATCTTATATTAATAAAGAAAATAGAAAGCCTACTGCATACTTAAAAAAATCGATACATAACAACATCAACAACAAAACAAATGAAAGAAAAGACACATAAAGAAAGAAAAAAGTGGTCATGCTTAACGAAATGGAGGTTTTTTTCAGTGTTCTATAACAATCACTTATGAAGAACATATCATTCTTGAAGACAGATGGATAAATGAAGAATTCTTATATAAAGACCCACCTGTGAAAACTGATTTTCAAGTTATTGGCCTATCTGTAAGTTAGTATGTAGAATTATCAATGGGAAAATGACAGAGGGATTACTAGGAAAAGGAAGTCAGTTTTCAAAAGGAGTTAAAGAATATTGATTATATAGGCTATGAAGTTAACAAGGCAATTTCAGTTTTTCTGAAATCAATTAAAATTGTAAAGAGTAGTTTACTTTTGTTTGCTCTTGAGCTAACTGATTAAAGCTTTAAAGATATTCTCTGCTGCCTTGGGAAGGTAGAGAAAGCAGAGACCTCCAAGGCCAAGGCTGTGTGCCCGTTTTCAGGGACGCTTGGAATCACCTTGCCATACGTTGCCTTGTACTTTTGCTTTATTTGTTGCCTCTCATCCGATGTCCTGCTTGATAAGATTTCAATGATGGCTGCTTCATCGGTTCCTAAAGTGCAGGAGAAAGAGACAAGGCCAAGAGTGAACAAGAAAGAAGATGGAGGTTGATTTTACTCAATTCCAAGGAAGCTGGGGCATTGGTTAGAGGCTTCAGTGGAGCCTAGATGCATCCCTTAGCTTTAATATCTCGTGGAGAAGTGTGTTCTTTTCACTCACTTGACAAATATCCATGGAGGCCTCACATGGCATGAAGCACAGTGCTAGACATTGCAGTGGAAAGAGAAATGAGTATGGCCTTAATTTCACTCCCAGTATTCGAGAGAAATGAAAACAAATGGCCACACAAAACTTGCACACAAATGTTTGTTGCTTCATCATTCATAATAGCTGAAAGGTTTCTAACAACCTGAATGTCCATCAGTGAACAAACAGATGAACAAATGTGGTATATCCATACAACGGAATATTACTTGGCCAGAAAAATGAATGAAGTCCTGATACATGCTACAGTTTGGTGAACCTTGAAACATTATGCTAAGTGAAAGAATCCAGTCACAGAAGAACACATATATATATTATTCCATTCATATGAAAGTCAAGAATAGGGAAATCTATAAAGATAGAAAGGAGATTAGTGTCTGGGGATGGGCTGGGTAGGGAGGTGACAGTTAAAGAGTAGGAGGTTTCTTTTTTGAGGTGATGAAAATGTTCAAAGTTGACTGCAATGATGATTTCACATATCTGTGAGTATATTAAAAACCATTGAATTGTACATTTTAGATGGGTGAATGGTATGGGATGTGAATTTACACCTCAATAAAACTGAAAAATCTGAAAAAAAAAAAAGTATGGTCTGTTCCTTGGCCTCCAGGTACTTAAAGCTGAGTAGAAGAGAATAAAATATAGGCCCACATTGCTACAATATGAAGCCCACCCTTAAACTTGTCAATGTCAAGAGAGAAGTCCAAATTGGGACCATGATGGGTAATTGTCTCTTTAAGCTCCTGACTGTTACATTAAAATTTTTTTTTATATTTATTTATTTTTGAGAGAGCATGAACAGGGGTGGGGAGAGAGGGAGAGAGAGAGAGAGAGAGAGAGAGAGAGAGAATCTGAAGCAGACTCCACGCCATCAGTACAGAGCCCCATGTAAGACTCGAACCCATGAACCACAAGATCATGACCTGAGCCGAAGTCAGACACTCAACCAGCTGAGCCACCCAGGTGCTCCCTGACTCTTACATTTTTAGATTACACTCTTTCTAAAAAGTTTTTTCCTCTGATGTTCCAAAAGTACCACATGCTCATTGTAGGCAATTTGATCAGTATCAAAAAACTATAATGAATAAGAAATAAGGGGAGAATATCCTTTTTAAGAACATGGAGACAGGATTGGAAAGCTGATCCAGGGATTGCAGGTGTGGGAATGAGAAAGTCTATTTAGCCAGCAAACCCTGAATTAGATTCTTCAGGCTGGATTCAAGTAATTCTTCTACCTTTATGGACTATATGGCATTGACTGTATATACCATTGACCCTTGAATAATACAAGGATTGGGGTGCCAAGTCTCATTGAAGTACAATATTCATGTATAACTTTTGAGTCCCCCAGAACTTTAGTACTCAAGTAATAGTCTACTATTAACCAGAAGCCTTAGTGATAACATAAAGTCAATTAACACATCTTTGTATGTTTTGTGTATCCTATATTATTATAGTAAACTAGAGAAAAGCAAATGTTACTGAGAAAATCATAAGGAAAATACATTTACAGTACTGTACTGTAAAGTTCTGCATATAAGTGGACCTGTGTTGTTCAAGGGTCAAACCTGTTTTGTTCAAAGGTCAACTATATATAGATATCACTGAGTCATTAAACCCATGATTTTGCTGATATTTTGTAAAGGACAGGGGTTGAATGAGTAGATTAACTCAGTAGTGCTCAGGTGGACAAAAATCATGGAAGGTGGTAGCTGAATGATTGGGGTTTGAAAGCCTGCTACAGAATGTAGACCTTTGGCAACAAAGGCACAGGGAGAGTGCCATGTGAGGACGGAGGACTGGAGAGATGCATCCATAAACCAAGGAACTCCTGAGGCCACCAGAAGCAGGGTAGAAGCCTGGAACAGGTCCTTCCTAGTGCCTTCAGGGGGGAGTATAGCCTACTGACTTCTTGACTTGAGACTCTGGCTTTCAGAACTGGGAGACAATAAATTTCTGCTGTTTTTAGCCACCTGGTATGTGGTACTTCATTATGGCAGCCCTAGGAAACTAATGTATCCATTATCCTCACCAGTGTCTCAAGACTTCAAGAAGGTCTTCACAGCCCGAGTCTGGAGAATCCTGCATTGGCCTTTTCCCAGCCCTACTCCTAAAGGCCGCTCCCTGTGACTAACTAGCATGTGCTTGGTCATTTTTGATTGGAACTGGCTTAGTTGAACTTGCGTGATCGCTCCTACCCAGCTGAGAGCTCAGAATCCCCAAGAAACAGGAGATGGTAGATGCATTTCATAGAAGAGTTGGGAGGAAGAAAAATCTGGGTCATGGGTGTGGGGAAACTGTGGAAGGGGGACATAACTACAGACAGAGGGACGGGAACAAAGAGACTCCCCTTATTTCTTTGCTGGTGAAGGCTTGAGGTGTTCTACCCCTGCCTCGACCCTGGTATCAGTCCTAACGGCAGTATTTGGGGAGACAGGGATAAGAGAGCTGCGTGCTTGTCCTGGCACAGCCATGAACTTTGTGTCCTCAGACTATTCACTTAGTCTCAGGGATTAGTTCCACCTTTATAATTCTGGGAAGACCTAGCTGTTTGATTCCAAATGGAGAAATAGAAAATTCTAGGATGAGCTCACCTATAAGAACAGCAGTGATTAATTGCCTGCCTCGTTCTGGTTCATTTCCAGCACTGTTATTTATGTTGTTCCTCTTAATTTTTTCCTGCTGTTTCAGCTTTACAAGGGGTATCCAATTACTTTCTCTGTGACATTTTTTTTTTTTTTTTTTAACTTTTGAGTGCCAGAAATCTCACCTCAGAAGAGGTTTCTTTTTCTGGTAAAAATCTCTTGAATCAGCCCCTTTCTTTCTGTGAGGGCTGCTCCTGCCCAGATCCAGGGCCTCTGCATCTCAGGTCTGGGTTCTTACAGGTGTCATCCCTAAAAGGAGCCTTCCTGCTTCCCAGGTGGCCCATTCGCTATATTGTGCCAGCCAGAATCTGGGGCTCATCCCTGGCTCGCTCTTTCCCCTCACCCCACTCCAATTAGTTACCACTAAGACCTCACTATTCTGCTTCCTTGATATCTGTCAGATCCACCCTTTTCTCTCCACCCTCACCTCTGTCACACTGCTCAGCAGAACTACTGATATCCAAATGGGGTTCCTGCATTATACACACCTTTCCAGCCGGCATGCACTGTCCCTAGAATGTGCTTGCTTATGGGCAGCTCACCTGTATCAAAGCTTGTAATAAAGGGCCCTACAAATCCAGAATAGAGTCTCAACTCTTCAGTGGGGCGTATGAGGCCTTTTAGAGTAGCTCCTATTTGCCTCTCAAAGTCATGTCCCTCCCACTCATGCTCTTTTGGGTTCTCCATAAAGCACGTGCAGCTCCTAGAACAGGCAACACTTTTCTTTCCCACCTCTGGCTCTTCCTTCTACCTGGAACACCTTTATCTTTGATCCTCACCTTCACTCCATTCCTCGTTCAGGACTCAACTCACTGGACTTTTCTGGAACGGAGGAGTCACTCCACCTTCTATGTCCCTCACATGGTCTGTTCTCCGTCCCATTTCTGCCATGCCACACTGCAAGTCCCATGGGACAGAGGAGGGATTTGCTCACTGCTGTATCCACATGGAAGCCTCTCAAAATTCATCAGATGACTTGTTGAATGAATGGATATTTAAATTCATGCATATAAATGTGAATGATTGAATGAGTGGAGACGTTTGCATAGCATCATGACGGAACCTTGTCTCTGCATTCGTGTAAGCTGTGCTTGCTGCTCAGACCAATAGGAAATCTACTCTGATGCCAGAGTCAACCCATAGCAGGATGATTCAGGAAAATTGAATTAAAATTTTAAAAGTAATGTTTTTTAGATTTTCCTTCCTGGAATGCATTAGAAAGTGAGACCGGAGACCAACGCCGTCCTGGGATGGCTTAGCATCACCCTGGAGGTTGGAGGGAGAGCCTGGAAATGACTAGATTTCCCTCAAACTCTTTGAATCTGGTCTTAGGTTTAAGCTGGGAGCCTTTCCCACTACCCGACCAAGAAGCGATTTACTGAACAATGACCTCATTTTACATTTCACAATATGTGTGTCATATAAGCAGTCTGTGCTGCTGAATGGTTTCCTGTAAACATTTACAATGGTTTGAGACACTGGGGCCAGTCACCAGTAGTTCTGGGAAAGACTTTTTGGAAAACAAGAAGGAACCTCTGCCCCAACTGTACATTGGACACTGCAGAGTAATTATACAGTAGAGGTCAGGCCCGGGGTGATAATTAGCCTTGGGGGTGCCAGAGGGCCTCCTCGCTTTTGCTCTCCCAGCAATTTTCTGGGAGGAGACAGAGCCGAGTTTCAGCAGGATGGAGGCCGCTGGGTGTGAAACGCCCTCCGCTTCACACCGGGGGCCCATGTGCCACGTGAGTGATCTGAGTGGTGTGCGGGCGGCGGTGGGGGTCTCTGCTTTCCCCACAGGCCCCTCATGCCAGCCCCAGGGGCCTGGCTGAGCTGCGGAGGGGGGCAGGCTGTGGGCTTCCCAGTCTCTCAGTGTCTCCTTTGAAAATGGGAGACTTTTTCCCCTGCAGGGAAGGCAGGGGAAGCGACGAGTTGGGGAGGATCTTGCGTGACAGGGAGGGTACTTGTCTACTGTGTTAGTTTCCTGAGGCTCCTATAATAATTACCACAAACCCTGTGACAAAACAGCAGTATATTCCCCACAATTCGGAGGCCAAACGTGTGAAATCATGTCGGCCACACTCCCACCAGAGGCTCCGGGGTCAAATCTGTGCCTTGCCTGTTCTAACATCCGGAGGCTGCAGACAGTCCTTTGCTCAGCGTCTGGAACATTGCTCCGCTCTCTGCTTCTGCTTCACGCGGCCTCTTCCTGAGTGTTTGCTTCTGCCTCTCTTGCTCTCTCTCCTTTTAAAATTTTTGTTTATTTATTTAAGTAATCTCTGTACCCTGTGTGGGGCTTGAACTCAGAACCCCGAGATCAAGAGTCTCGGGCTCCACTGACTGAGCCAGCCAGGTGACCCTCTCCTGTCTCCTTTAAGGACATTAGTCAATGGATTTAGGGCCCACCCAGGTAATCCAGCCTCATCCTTTCTCAAGTCCTTAACTTCATTACATCTGCCAAGATCCTTTTCTCAGTTAAGGTCACATTCACAGGTTCTGGGTGGATATATCTTTGGGGGGAGCACCATTCACCCTGGTACACACTCAGTAATAAAGAGCAAAGGCCACTCCGGGGGTGGGGGTGCTCTTCGCTGCCCATACTGATCTAATTGGCTTTGTGGGGATTTTGGATCTGAGCTTATCCTTTAAAAGGGGCAGATTAGCGTGTAATGAGGGCCAGAATCGTGCTGAGACTGTGCTGCCTTCTGCCTCAGCACCTGTCTGCAAGGAGGCATTATTAGCCCATTCTGCAGTTGAAATGGGGCACCAGTAGGTAGCAGAGCAGGGGCTCAAACCCAGGTCCGAAGTTCATTCCCATGCCTGGTGAGGGGAAAGGGAACTGGGCTCAGGGTTACCAGATCCCAGTTCTAGGTCTGGTTCCACTCCGGTGTGGCTTGAGAAGCATTAACCTCTGTGGCTCTCAGATGGACTAGACCTTGCTCCCAAAGCGTGGTCTCAGGATCTACAGCATCAGCATCACCTGGGAGCTTACTGGAACTGTAGGATCTCAGAAACCACTCGGAGCTACCAGTCAGAATCTGCGTGTTAACATCCTGGCGACTCAAAAGCACGTTACATTTTAGGAAGTCATGAACTAGAACTAAGGTAATCTTCATGGCAACTTTTCCTTCAGAGAGACTGTGTCTGTGCTTCTTTGAGGGAGAATGACAAGCATCCTTTCACATTTCAGAAACGATAATGGGTGTTGGGTCCATACGCTGTCAGGTTTAAGGCATTCTCTTCAGAGAATAACCTCTGAGCTTCAGCATTCTCTCTGTTAAGTTGTTACAATGCAACTTTATAGGGTTGTTGAAAGGGTTACACGAGGTGATGTGTATGCAGTGCCCAGCTTAGCACTTGGCACGTAGAAGGTGCTCTACAGCAGTAATCAGCACAACAGTGGTCCCACCTTCAAGCCACATCCAAAAGGGAGAAGAAAACACTGGGTGGCTTTGGCACTCAGTAGGTGCTCTATGTTGAATGCACTGAGTGGCCGAAAGCACAGGGATGTATCATTAACTGCAGCTGAGTTATTCCCACACCCACTTTGCTCCTGTCTCCAACCCACCTCCAGGTGTCAGGACCTCACTTGAGAGGCAGCAGGGAAGCACCTGTGAGGCTGGCTCAGCCACTCAGCAAAACTCAGAACTATAAACATCCTGCCACTTCCAGGCAAACATGGCTCCCGGCAGCTGTTGTCCAAATACAACATGAGCCAGGTCAGGATATGAGCAAGAAGCAGCTTCTCTCTGCTGAGCTTTTCTCTGATGCCCCCTCCCCCCCCCC